TTTATTTGCTTTCGGGAATAGCTATTATATTGTTTATATTCGATGTTACGAACGAAATCTTACACCGATAAACAATTCTCCAGTAATATAATTAAATAGCTCGACTACAAATCGTGCCACAGTAAATAGCTCAATAACGTAATAGTAAAACAATGTCAGTATAGTATTATATTTATCAGTCTATAATGATAATTGTACTCATCTTAAATAAAACTAGAAATTATAGTGGATCACACTTGACTCTAAAATATATTGTTGTAGAGTAAACACCTCTATCTCCATCAGAATAATTAATTAATATGCATTATCTAAATAAAATGGGGCCATGACAACTGCATATAATTCTAAATAATGAGTTATGATCAGCAATGAAGTAAGTATTCACGGAAACGTAATTTTGCTTTGGTGACAGACTAGGCATCATGTTTTCATAGACGCTCTAACGCAAAATTAGATTTCAATGAATATGAATAAAAATTGTAGTAGTTGCGCTATTAAATTATATTACTGGAAAATCTAATTTCTTTCAAAAGCATTAAAATTACTACTTACTGGAATAATTTTATCTCAAACAGTAATGCAATTAGCAAAATTTCAAAGTAATTGATTGTGAAAGATACACGTGCAATAACTTAAAAATAGTCTACTGCTTTTACAGTTTGACTAGGATAAACCAGGTAATTATACGTTAACTCTAATAAAGAAGGCAGTCTATATAATCCTATGTTTGGCTATTAGATACGGCCTTAGGTAGAGAGCCCAATCGCATACTAGAAAGAGTACAAGTGCATCATCTCAACCTATTAGCCATCTATGGTACTACTTAAATTTGTGGAGATCATTACAGCGTATTGAAAAAATTGCGAAGGAAGTGATGGATCTTTAAAATGACGCTTTTACCTTTTTCCTTTTAAACAGTTTCTTAAATGCAGTGAAGGAACTAAAGTTAATATCATAACATACTCAAGACATCTATTGCTATCTGAAGTTCTGAAACTATGGTTAGTAAATTTAATTGATGGCTTGAATTATTGGACAATGAAACTATTGCGAATGGTAATAAGATTTCTAGAATTTTCCTTTCGCTATTGATTCTCAATGGCAGAATCTATTCCATATTTTTTCACTAATTAAATACAAATATTATTTAAGCAAATCTTTGCAATATTTTATACTTCAAATCTAAATTATTCTTTAACTCCCGGAATGGATAACAGCTTCCGTTGATGCGTAACGTGAATGGAATCGACAAAAATGTTGACATTTTTATTGCACTTACTTCTCTTCGAATTGCGATTGTTTGCGAACAAATTATATGTGATTATCCATCAGATATTATACACTGTCAGATATGTTAATAAATTACAACAGGAATAGCTTAGCAAATCATATTAGTCTTTTGTAAATTTATTGGCATTTTATTAATATGTTGGATGGTAATACAGTAGTTAAAATCTTCACAATTCATAATAGTCACACATTAAGTGCTTTAGCTCTAGACGCAGTAATAGCGAATTTGCAAGCTTGTAGGTACACTTTTATTAACAAATATAGTAATATTATTACAATTACGGCTTAAACAGTTATAATTATACATTTGAAAAAGCTTTTAGAAAGTTTACTTGTAATCAGGCCTTTATTCACTCCTGAGAAAATTTGCCTAGTATCTTTCAATTATGTGTTTAATTTCGAATACGCATGGCTCATATCCAGTTGAATTAGTCATCAGCTTACTTGGAACTGAAGATTTATTCAACGACAATAAATTTAGGTTACATACGAATCTAGCAACGAATTATTTTACTTTATCCGCTTTTCATTTTCAATATGAGAATCTAATTAGACTTAAGATATATTAATTGTAAAATAAGAAGAGCACATTTTTGGGGGGTAATTCAGGTATTGGCATTATTAGATTTATGGGTTACGACAATAACGGCAGTTTTATTTTGGCGCTCTAGATAAAAATTTGAAATCATAGCCTTTCTAAATGTTTTGTTATAAATAATAAAAATGAAAGGATTTTGAATTGCCGTTAAACTTGCCATAAAAAATGCAGTCGATACTAAAATAAATATAAATTCACCGTAGTCTAAAACAAGATAAACATAGGATTTGCCAGTAATAAGTGCAATAAACCAACCGAACATAATAGGCAATGAGTTAACCATAAATAGCAGTGTGGCTAAAATCATCATTTTGGTTGAGTGAACTTGTCGCCTTTTATTACGATCATATCTATTTCTGATATTTGAGATATTGTTTATAGAATTAGATATACGACGAATAACTTTGAAATAAAGGCAAAATACCGTCACTAATGGTATCGGAAAAGCTACTGACAGTGCAAAGAGATGGTAAACTGAAAAAGTATAATCGTTGTTTTTGCCGTAAGGGAGAAGATCACACATATGAGGTAACTTGGGATTAATATCCGCCAGAATAAGCATAGGGATGGCTAATAGTAGACCAACAATCCAAATTATGGTAATAGCCATAATCAAAATTTTCTTACTTTGAAACGGAGATTTCCTATTGGTATATGTCATAATTAGAAAGCGATCGATACTTATAGCTGTAAATGATTGTGAAGAAGTAATATAAGACCACGTTATGGTAAAATAATTAACTTTACATACGACTTGGTAAATGGAATGATTAAAATGTTGTTGTAATGATAAAACAACATTACTTATTAAAAAGACTGATCCAAATGCTAATACGATAATATCAGATACAGCCATATTAGCAGATAAAATGTACGAAGGAGTTTGAAGCTGCTTTATTTTGATAATTGTAGTTATTAACAGTATGTTTCCAATAATTCCAGCAACAGATAATGGAATAAATGCCATATATACTGCTATATATGACTTACGAAATTCAGTGGCATCTGTGGAATGATTTTCGTTTAAAAAATTCACTGATTTATTGATGATTAATGAGAAAGTTACCTCATCGTAATTTGAAGCCATATCAAGTTTCTTAATGCTAACGATTTTTCAGAAAGAAAGAAATTGCTCTGCACTGGTAATTTATTTTGACAATTATGATGCATATCAAAATTTACACTTCAAATAAGGGATTAGAATGTGCTTGAGATCATTGATTATAATATAGTTAATCTTGAAGAATTTTTTATTAACGGAGTGCGGCTTCATGGGATTTAAAATTAAATAATCACACAATTGTTAGGTGACAATAATTGTTTTTATTTCAATTTACTTGACCAATAAACGTCTCGTATCTTATTTTTCTTATAAAATTAAATCGAATAGTAAGGTTGATGGCAAACAATGCATCCATTTTAATAGGAATATGAATAAATTCCGCCGGTATAATATACGTTTACGTTATGTCATAGCTTGTAAGATATCGTGCTTAGATCGGACCTTTCGATTTCGTATTATCATTTCGAAGTCATAGTTATAATAGAACAATGGATGTTTTCTTTCAGTTTAGAGGAACTATGGAGTTCGATTTCTTTATTCATTACTCATCATAATGGTTTTTTAGAGGTAGAGATGTCTAATTTATTCATCGCGATAGATTTATAAATAAGAAACAATAGCTCTTTGTTTTGCTTATTAACAATGTTAAATGTAGTATTGAGATTTATTTTATTTTCTACGTATTAATTTGCTTCTTTTATCTTAAGTTATGGGCCAAAAATAGTGCTGCTTTTCTTTCAGAATATGCTTCCATAGTATGCAAGTGTCCGTTTGATTGAGTGTCAATGTTATGAAAATTTCTATAAAGTATCACCGAATACAAGAAGATAACGATTAAAAATTTAATGGCACAAAATAGTTGATGTACTACTACTATCATAGTGTAGTGAAGGATTAAAAGTAGAGTCTTTTATAGCGTTTAGTATGTAACTAGTATTATTTTACGATTACTGTGATCTTTATAAAATTCGAAATTTTTCGGATTGGGATTCCGGAACCGGTCGGATTTATGTCCGATATAATTTTCCTGTTTTAATTTTTGGATTTTTGTTCATGAATAATATCGTAAGAGTTCATTTTTGAAATTTGAACTTTTTGTTATCAATTTGAAACTTTGGAATTTTATGACGTAATATGAAAGTCACATTAGGAAAGTTTAGTGAGGAAAATAGAAAAGAAGATGGAAATTGGCAGAGGTTGTGTTGATTGTTATGTAATTAAACTGTTGCTTTATGACTAAATCTTGATGTTTAAAGTTTAATTTTTATACTTTTATAATGTATTAATCATAGAAATTATGTTAGAAGTGAAGTTTGATGTATGTTATACGGTAGTTAACTTGTTGGTATTATAGTGTTTTGTAAGGGAATCATATGGTAAATTGTGTCTGAACTTTGAATGATTTTTATTTTCTTAAATGGTGCGAAGTAGTTTTCTGAAACGGATCTTAAGAGCGATTGGTTAGTAAATCTTTAGTTTTATATACCTCTTACGGCTCTACGAAGTCTATAAATGATAGTGCAATTAGAAAATTTAAGAGAGAGAGTAGAAGAAGACTCTTTTGAAGAACTTGTGGAATTTAAAAGGCCTTCGGGGTCAAATTGTCGTCAGTTAAAACGTTCTTGTTTTTGAAAGGTGGTTTCGTCGTTGACAGTTTTTAACCTTATGACTTATTTTATGAGTACTTAAAGTTAAGTATTTGTAAGATTGTTCGGTTCATAATTCTTTCCATTTTTGCTTTTTAATAAATTGTTGTTCTATTATTTCCCCAAATTTTATTTGGTGTCAAAGTATTAGCGTTAAGTCGACCGGAGTGGAACGAAAGTTGAATCAAAGTCTTTTAAAGTTTTGTGGCTTGATATCTATACTTTTCATTTCATTACAATAGGCTTTAATAATTGTTATCAAAGACAGACCAATAATTGAAGATACATCTCATGAGTATAGCCGTAATATTAACCTGAAAGAACTAACTTAAGAAAGACAATAAATATTAATCTAGACTTTAATATTTTCCTAGTTCACCTCAAATAAGTAAATAAACTGGATGATATCTATTTCAGATAACTAGTAAAATTATCTTCGTTAATCATAATATCTAAAATTCCTTCTGAATTTTATCAAATTTTTTTATTCAATTTTTTACGGAACTGGAGTTATTTGACTTATCCCGGGATTTAAAATGAAACCACAAAACTTTCTTTCTTAAATTGTCCAGTAAGAATTTCCGTTACTGCGGATCAGAAATGATTCGTTGTATAGGTGATATTCTATGTAATATTCACATAAATTTCATTAACCGCGAAAATAAGATTTTATAAGCTTACTTTCTATTTTGGAATATTTCGTAGATAAAATATTTGAAGTAGAATCTCGTTATAATTGTTCCTTTACGTAATTTTAGCAAAAAAGACTTTAAAAATAAAAGAATGAATTAGTTCAAGTATCCTATAGTAGTAATTAAAAAATGTTGTACTTGAGAGAATCGAGCAGAATCTTTTACAGTACTGACAGTAATTTCCCTCTTTGATATCGAAAATTAAACTTTATTTTTGTGACTAACCTAGAGTAACTTAATGACTTAACTGTTTTCTGTTACATAATTCAATCAAGTATCCACTTAATTAATTCGATAGAACAAAAAATAGAACTTGTGAGAAGA